ATTTAGGCCGTCGCCACGTGCAGACGACGGCGTATCATCCGGCCGCTAACGGCATCGTAGAGCAATTTCACCACCAGTTGAAAGCAGCGCTAGGTACGAATGCAGATCCTTCATGGTCTGAAACACTTCCTCTCATCCTCCTAGGTTTAAGAAACCCTGTTAAAACCGACTATAACGCAAGGCCAGCGCAGCTAGTCTACGGCTGTACGCTGCATTTGCTTGAACAACTGGTGGCACCAGCCCCGTCTACTTCCTCCTTTGACTACAGAAGTTACACCGACCGATTGGCTCACCAGATGCGTGAGTAACGTCCGCCCCCTCCACCATGGCAGAACACCAGTGTACGTTCCCGAAAAGCTGTCTACTTGTTCACACCTCCTCCACGAAGACGGCGTTAGGCAGCCTCTTCAGTCGCTGTACATAGGACCCTTCAAAGTGATACACCGTAAGAAATAAGACGTATACGATTGACCGCGGTGGCCGACGCGAAGTCGTCATCATCGAACGCCGTAAACTAGCTTTCGTCCACGAGGTCGCTGGGCTTATAGCTACTTCGAACGCTTCGTGTGACACTACGAATAATCACGCCACGTTACAAACACGTAGCATTCCTGCAGCGCGTGCCGATTTAGGTTTACAGGCTTGGGTCATTCCGACGTCATCGTTTACTGTGAGCCTGTCGCCTCCTACTATCAATCGCCGTTGTCAGGAGGTTCGTAAGCACGTTCGCTTTTCCGATTATCTAGAGGGTAAAGAATTTTAAGTTTGCAAATATTTTTCCTTTTTTGTCGATTAACGTTTCGAAAACACCAAAATATCAAAAGCGTCCGAAAAACCTTAGTAAAATAATCCATAAACACAAAATACCCAAACATTTTTGCACGCAGATCATACATGCGTTCTTTTTGCCGTATTCTGCATGTGATTTTCGGCTTTCTTGTCTCTACATGCCCCAACCCCCCTTTCGATCTACTGGACCTCACGAGCGACGTTTTCAAGGATCACCACAGTAAACGAAGATCTAGACGAGGAAGCGGGTCATTTTTCGTGAGACGATAGTCGTTTCTCCGTGGGAGGATGGTCGTTTTGGGGCGGGCGCGGCGCGGTGGAGGGAGAGATCATTCACAAGCGCACTGTTTGGCATCAACGGAGGTTGAGGTCCTGTCGGCCTTTTTCTGGGCTAACCAGTTTTTTGACGTCAGACAAGCACGCTCGGCGAAATGTACCCTGCCCTGTAATCAATAAATAACAAACGGCACAGCGGACTGAGACTTCCGGCGAACCCATTTGACACGAACGCTCACTCATTCTTACTCGGCATGATTTTGCCCTACGAACCTCGATTCACCCGTCATTTTCGATCTCGAAGGCTTCCTATGTTCATCCTCCTAGGGGAGGGAGCTCTGTAGCGCCCAAAAAGATAACTGCCATCTTTTGTGCACTGTTTCATTGTCGACCAATTGTACATCAGTCTTTCTTGTTTAAATCTTCCTTACACCGGCCTCGTCACTTAGCCGTCTTGTAAGTTCCTGCGCTAACGTGTTGCTCCTGTCTCGCTTCATCCGTCCGCGTCTTCTTGTAGCACATCAAATGCAGTCCGCTGTGTCCGACTCCAGTTGTCTTCTGATATCGGCGCTTAATTTTGAGCACCATCTCGGATTAGTATCTACTAGTACTACGGACTGTTCGAAACGCAGCGTGATTAGATTTGTTCAAGTAAGGAAGAACAATGATCAGACCATTCAGATGGACTGCTGTAGCAACCCAAAAGATATTTCTTGTTTTTTGTACACTTTTATTACTCAGTCATAAAATATTGCTTTTTGTTTTAATGCCGACTCTACGGCCATTATGAACTGCATCCGGATCACCACTTTTCTCCACGGTGAGTTCCGGCACTGACGTACGCTCTCGTCGCTTCATTCGTTTTCGTTCGATTGTAGCCTTCCGCGAATACAATCCGTTGTGTCCGTCTTTCTGGTTTTCTGGCATCCCTACCAGCGCGGGAACACTCTCGGACTAGTATAGACTAGTCCTATACTGCGCCTTACATCGCCACGGAATGTGACGTTTATTTATTTATTTAATGTCGAGTGTTAGGAGAGAGACATGTGAAGGTCACCGATGTTGAAGGGTACTCAAAGCAACGCAAACATGAGCAACGTTCCTGAGCAAGCATAAGTGTATACACACGTTCGCAAGACGATCCATCACTTAAGACCCAAGAGTGAGCTTGGCGTAACTGTGTCGATCATGCCTCCGACCGATAAATTGTACATGCAAGTACAGTGGATTTGGTAGTTACGTACTGTAAGCAGTACATGCAGCCGGCCAAACAGTAACGGGCGCATGAGAGTGGGACGTTATCGGATTGTTCAATTCGATGGGGGTGCCATCTACTAGGAAGCTGCGAACTAGAACTCGGGTCCGGTGGATCAGTTCACGAACTGTATATCAGGTGTGACTTTAGCCTCTTCTGCCCATTTGCTGGATGCTCATTTCATTGAAACCTGGATTCGCGTTGTTTGGCCGCATATCAGACATCGTCTGCGTGTTACTGTGCAGATGCACACTTCAAGGTCTAGAGAAATTCATACCCAATTAGCTCGTGTGCATGAAACAATGTGCCACTTGATGCCGCTCCCAAAGGTAGTGTTTTCTGGTCTGTAAAAGACGGAGATGCGTTAAGTTATTTTGGAACATAATCAAATACTTAAGTTTGGTGGAGATAGTGGGTGGCCTCTGCAGGAAGGATAGTGGACCGTTTGTGGGTTTGATGGTAGGCAAATTTATTGCACTAGTATACCATCAATACGCTACTGTTTGAAAGCGTGTCGCGATGTAAATGTAACGTCCACTGACTTCATCTAGCCCTGTGGTGGAAGCGCCAAAATAAAACGGCTACGTTCCATTGCCTCAGCGCTAAAAGGTGATAAGCACGCGACTTCTATATCAACATGATTCGTTTGACGTCTAGCGTTTCAAAACAGTCGTTGTACATCAAAGGGGGCCAGATCGTACACTGTTTACTAGGCTGACTGTTCAGATATGTTTACATCATTGCATGGTAATCCGCTTTATCCGAAGAATAACTTGACGCAACCGTGAGGTCGCTGCATTTTATTGACATAACTATTAACTTTCGTTCACTGAAGGCCAGTCTGTACAAAAGTCAATGTCGTGGTTAAAGAACGCGCTCAACATAGGACTCGGTCTTTGAACGAACGTTTTGCGTCCTTTTTGGATGCCCCGCCTATTGTTCTTATAAAACAAACATGCGTAGCAAGATATTCTTCTTGGCTAAATAATCGAGAAATATACCTACCAAGTTGGAATCTGCTTGTGTATTTTGAAAGGAAGTAGCGAATGAACTGCTAAGGCCAATTAGAGCAGAAGATGAAACCTGACACCGGTACGGTATTGTGCTGCATTTTATCCGGGAAAGGTGTACATTCCATTCTTAGCATCAAATCAAAAATCAGTGATTGTGTTCAGATAATCCAATGGTGATACTTAGGTATTTTATAAGCGTAGAGTTTAGCCTGTCATATTGTAATGAACATAGTGTTATTTGTGAGCAGAGAGCTGCGGGTCAAATAGATCTTAGGTTATGCGCCTAGTAATAGCTTCGGGTCCGGACAAGCGTTTGTCTGTTAAACCAACTTAGTAACAATAGAAGAAGACAACAACATAGATGAAAGCTCTTTCGAAGATCCCAGAGTTCAAAATTAAGTGTGGTCGTCGCTGTCGAACGCGGCCAATATCCTTGTGTTGATCCAGATATTCCATAGCTGGAACACATGAGTCCGTTCAGCTTGTGATAAGATTTAAGCAGGTAAACTGCAAGTTACAGCATGAACAGTCCTTAGAAGCCACATTGCAGCGTGCTCAATATGTAACGTAGCAACTGGAATCGTGGTAATGGAGGATTCGTACGTTTGTTGTGCCGCGCTTCAGCAGCTGAAACCTTAATTTATGTCTAGATTTTTGATAATTATTGAAGTATTGACAACTGGACAGGTAAGTTGAATATTGTGAGAACTGCTGTTAAGAACAATTCCCTGAAGCTTGCGACCTATGAACACTTTGGAAAATATAGTCCGTCCTTCGCAGTGTACCCATGGGTTCACCCTTTACTGAGAACCAACTGTAAGTATTTCAAGCACCAGAAAATAGCAGGGTCCCAGTTGAAGTATTTCTAGATTTTTACGTCGGAAAATGTATCAAACAGCCGTTTTATCCCATTGAAAAGCACTAACACTGCGCACTTCGAATGACCCGTGATCCGTAAATGCGGAGGACTTTGATGTGGCAGTGAGTTAGGCCACTGAGATACGTGTGGTAGCTAGGGTACGCAACTGTTGCAAACTAGCTGGAGAATAACGGACGTGCGCAGTTGCCAATCTGCGGAGAATAGTGCGCTATACTGACACTTCATTCACCTGCAATGGTCCATCTCCGCCCCCGAGGACTCAATACCAGAATCGATGCCTCGGAAGAGACAGTCGGGGGTTCGAGTAAGGCGGGAATCGGCAGTCGCGCTATTTAGGAGGCCCAAGTAGAGTTAAATGGCGTTAATGGCTTCTCGAAAGTAATTCAAAAACCGATTCTCAAAAAGCGTAAGCAACAGTCGGTGGATGGGTATCACAGAATAAACGAGAATACAACTGAAATATGAGTACAAACATGGAATGAAGAGTAAGAATTGTACCACGTCATGTTGCGTTCTTGGTGAGGAAGATCTTAGTAGGCAACGTTGCTGACCAACTAAAAAGAATGAACATTCGTCGCGACGACTGTATTTAGGCCCACAAACTAAGCTAATTCGCTGCGTATCTTCCTAGGAATGCTGAAGTTTTTAAACTTGAAACTACAGTCTTGTCTAAAAAAACACCCATCGTCCTGATTAGCTACATTTGCCAGCACATCAACATTGCTTAACAAATAATGAAGAACATTACACACACACTACATAGAGAGCTTCCAAAACATAGATTTACCTCCAGCTCCTTAGTATTATCTACCGGGAAGTGATCCAGGTCCCTGCTCGAACCATTTTTCATTCTGAAATATTGCTTGTCCACATCAGGAAAATTCCGGTTCAAATCAATCCCATTCGCATTAAATCTTCCTGGTGATTGATCCTGCCAGTAAAGTGATGTAATCCGGGAAAACAACTTACCCCGGCGTTATAGTGTGAGCGCAAATCGTAGCCATCAGGGTTCATCGAGGGGAGCAGATGGATGCGAGTGGTGTGGATAATTTTGCGAACCAAAGGATTATCAGTTGAGTATTCCTCACACAGATAGTTTGCCAGTCTCAAGAGTAGCTCCCTTCCTGCTGACTCATCTCCATGCATACCAGCAACATATTTGAACTCGGGAACACCTGGTAAACTCACAAAACAGTAGCACACAAGTGTTACCTGGTATGTGCGCCTTTGGGTTTTCACCGAACACTATGACAGACAGTGTGTTCCCCATTTTCGTGTGCGTGATATTGTTGTATGAGAGGTCATATGTGGCTGTGATATCAGGGCAATTTTCTTGAATTCGATACAAAATCCGTTTCACCTCCCTAGAACTCAGCTCATCAATATCTTGGAACGCATGCGATTTCCACAACAAAAGCAGTAGATAAACCAAATATTTGGTTCCCTCCATCTGGGTGTCTCAGATTGGACGGACGGCCTCCACCAAGTACCAGCTAGTATAAAATGAAAACGGAAATATGGTATAATGGACAATAAGTTTTACTTTCCGGGTAGAAACATGCCATGCTGGGAAGATTATGTCAAGCTACGTTACTGCTTGGATAGAGGTCTGCACAGAGCAGAGGATGTTCGTCAGAGTTCAACCCAGAAGCAAGTTGTTATAACCTTTTACCACGTACCATAACTTTCACCTATTAGCGAGTAAAGACTAGTTATACAAACGCTGAGGTGGCGTTGATGGTAACCTCAGCAGAGATGTTATCTCCTTGTTATAATGACCCTATAACGTTCGGAAACAAACGGAATCAAAGAGTTTCTCTGCTCTCCACAATGGTGTGGGCTGCAGAAAACTGGGATGATTAGCTGGCGCTATCGGGGTAAGTGATGCGCGCATAAGGCTGTAGCAGAGATTGAACAGTCACAAGGGCGCACGACAACGGCTACTGAAACTCCGTCGTAATACCACTTGGATGCGTTGGCAGTCGGAATTTATTGAGCAGTATAGTAGACAAGAGTGCAATCGGGCATGTATCTCCATTCGGGTCCGAAAGCCCTGGGATGCCTTCCTAATCCAGTCATCATTGGTTCAGTAATAGCGATGTTCACAAAACGGTCGGTCAACACATTAATTCCCAGTTGCTTTGCTACAGACTGTGATAGTGTAAAGTATGCGTGTTTCGCAATAATCAGACGTTGTAAACTAACGGGTGCACAGAAAATACGGCAAGTTGGTTGACATTTTATTTTCTTTGGAAGAGAGCTCATAAACAATGAACGGTTGAACAAGTTCCATGTGTAGCTTTGGTTCCGAATCATATCACCTATCTGGATAGAAAAGCCAGTGGTTTTTTAATTCACAATGTGCCAAACTCGAGTACTATTTTGTATTGCTAGCACTACTATGGCATCATAAAAGTTTAAGTTAGTGATCCTTTAATAGTGAAGCACAAAAAATTTTTCTGGTTTAATTCTGGCAAACCAGCAATAAACCTTAATAGGACTGGTATTCCTTTCTATTTCAGTATAATGGTGTGCACAAACCAGAGACTGACAGAACTGCGCACAAGGATAGCAAAACACAAGAGGTATGTTGCTTGTCCACGGTGAAACGAACGTGGATAAAAGGTCTTAATAAAAGTTACGGCGGTAATGGTAGTACGCACTAGACTAGGGATATGAGATCGACTGAGACAATCTAGATATCATTAGATGAGTGGGAGAAACAAGTCAAATGTTGATTGCAAAAACCCTGAAGCTCGTCAATGTCAATAGTTGCATGAACAGAAGAGATCGGCTGGAGCTATCAAAAGCCTGGCGGGCTGTCTTAATCCGGCCAGTCTGAAGGGTGTCGATGGACGAGTTCACTCTGGATCGAAAATGTCGACTATCCACATTAGAATCAACAAAAACAAGGTAAATAGTCTCTTGCGTGCGAATAACATGCGACACGGGTCAATTGAACAAGTACAACGCTAATGGTGTTGCTAGAATTACCCTCTGACCCATTGAAAATATAACTAGGGTTATCTACTGACTCGGGTTATTTTCGCAATCATCCTAATTTGTGATGGTAGCCAAGACAATTATGCGCCAGTGCACTGGTCAAAAGCAGCTCTTGTGTCAAAACCGAAACGCAGCCACATTATAAGCCTATAGAACCGATTTGTTTTCTGAACAGAATGATTGAAAAGGCTTTAAAATATAATATACGTAGATGCCGAACGAGCAACTCCATAAGCTACAGGGCTTGTTGAAGATGGGTATACCAATGTTAATCAGTACTGCCGCTTCCAAAGCGTTTTGTCTAGGAGCTTGCAATATTTTAATATCACTAGCTTGTTTTAACTCTGCTAAACCGAACGACATGTTGTTTACGGATTATACAGTCAAACTTAACTGATTACTGGACTTCCACAGGCTATTGCCTTTCGGTCATCCAGTGGGTTGCTTCGGTCGTGTTTAGTTTGTCTTCTGCTTACCCCAATTTCTTATCGCATGTAGTTTTACAATGTGTTATTGCCCTAAATATTAACACCGCAACATCTGGTGCAACAAGTTGGTTCGTCGATAATTTATGAGATTTTATCGGAGGATATAACTGACCTCATTTTTTGAAACGTCCGCGTCAGTCTGGTCAGTTGTCATTGGGTTCCATGCTTCGTGCGCTTACAACAATCTGGGCTACAATTATGCACGGTATCCTATCCGTTTGTTTGACATAGTCGCCACTTTTACATGTTCACTGTTCGTGACAGACATGCAGCCATGAAAATTTGGGATCTTTAAATCTTATCGCAAACAACAGACCTAACTCTGTACTTGAAGGCATCAGCAGTACACCGATACACGGTACCGAGGCTCCTCTGCCGCACAACCACCACTAGTCGCAGTGAGCTACGGACACTATGAGGGTCACCCGGCATCTATGCAGATTCGAATCAGCACTCTTGGATTAAAATGCAAGCTTGTGATCCTTAAAACTACGGGCCGGCAAGGCTACGTACTTAAAGGAGGAAAGAAGGCCTAACATTTCTATTCATTTTTGTCTCCTTCTGCCATAAAGTGTAAAACGAGTAGCGTCATCACGTTTCCGGTCAATAATCGGTGCATATAAGCAAACGCAAGAAACAATTTTGAAGAAATGTGCTATAGGAATGACACTATAATCCACAGGTAAAATCATGTTTTGTATACAGGATGTAAAAAAGAAAGCCAAATATTTTATCTTAATGTCCTACGCCGTCCCAATAGCTATTTACCGGGTCTTAAGCTTTAAGTTCTGACCCATATAAGTACTAGTTGTAAAGGCGATCTACGGAACAGAGGTTGCATACTAATATACTAATGGTCAACCTGTGGTGTCCGAAAAAATCATTTATGCAACAAAAGCTGTGACACCTAACTTCTAACTTAAAAACTCTTGTACTAGCAATGTAGATGCACGACTGTTATAGTGTGGGAGGAAAATCAGCCAAACGTTGATGAGTAGCATGTACTAATACGGTCTAATTTACAAGCCTTACTCTAGAAAGCTTAATTTTACAGTTTTCCGTCCGCCGAATCAAATACTATACATGAGTTTGTAGCGCCATGGAGATCGCTCCGATTGGTGTGTAAAATGTTACAAAATAGTAGTTTCATGGTATATTCATGGAAATTAGGCAATTTCTCTGTCACATGATACTACTGTTTATATACACAAACATCTGGAAAACCCCTTGGACTTTCAAGGAATCCTTACTCCGCTCTCCTAGCCGACATTCCTTAAATGCCCTTCAGCGAAGCGAGCTTGTACCTTTCAGTAATAAACGTTTATCTCACCCACTTTCATTTATCTGTTTACTGATCCCATACGGTTGGCTGGTTGTGCGAATAAAGCATCCTCCCATCGATTGCACTATAATCAGTGACCCAGCTACACCCGATGAGTTTGTTGTTAATTTCTCTTCATATTCAGCCACATATTTTGTCTAACTCACTAAACTTCCATCTCTCCTAACTGCAGGGTTCAACTTTGCTGACTCTGTACTATTTCGCTACGAAAGTTATTCACCTAGATTCTGACAACCACGTTAGTGAATTCAGTCTTTATATCCCACCTTTCAATGAGACAAACCTTAAGTCATGGTTTATCCAGCTAGAATCGCATTTCTGATTGTGTGGTGTTAAGTCCGAGAGAAATAATTTCCACTACTTAGTAACGGTGCTTTCTCCAGCTGTTATCAATCATATCAACAACATTTTGGATCTGCCAAATGACTAGAGAACTTATGAAATAATTAGGGCCGCTGTTCTGGAAAAATAGGCTTGTCTGATAGAGAGCGAGCGACGAAACTCTTATGCAAAACCGAACTTGGTGGTCTCAAACGAGCTGTTATTGCAGAAAATTTAGTGCTTAGCGAAACCCGAGACGGTAACCGACGCTTTCTCCCGGGACATGTGGTTTTATCAAATACCCGGTGAGATGTGTAACACACTCTGTGATAAAGCTGGTGCGCATTGTGTCAGTTGACTGACACAGCCGACAGAGTTTGGGAATCTTACAGCCGAATTTGGAAGGTGCAGTCCACTTTAAGTAGCGAGTTTAGAGCTAAAATCGTGGCACTTACCAAACGGCTAGTTGGCATTAGAGTTTTTGGACCTAACCACAGACGTCGTCCTAGAAATCGAACCCACTCTCGCTCGATATCTTATTCGAAGTTTCTGCCTAGACCATTCTATTGCTTATACCATTAGTGATTCGGTCAACAGGCCAGATCATGTCGCCCGAATTGTTCTTTCAAGTGCCAAACGTAGGGAAACGGGCCGACCATCACGTAGGGGCGAGGGACATTTCTGGTCGTCACACTCATATTTTTTATTCGTCACCGATAAAGAAAGTGGAGTAGGCTACTCCGTGGATACTGGTGCCAAAGTGAATGTCCATCCTCACAACAAGAAAGACCCGAATGAGAAGGCGATGGGTTCATGACGTACAGCCAATGAGAGTACCATTCAGGTGTATGCTCAACGCATGCACCCGCTTAAGTTAAGCCTACAACGTTCCTTTAAATGGATTTTCCTCATCGCAGATGTTCAGACGCCATTTATTGCCCTTGAGTTCTTGTAGTACTTCGACTAGCTTGTAGACGCAAAGCGCCGCCGTCAGATCTGTCGCCATACGAACCTAGCAGTTATAGGTAACTTGAACGACATTGTCCATCAGTCATGTATAGGCTAATCAGTCGAGCTCAGCTTTTGATCAGATGCTCCTTAACAGCTTCCAACAGGTGTTTTGTGCAGCCACCTTAATATCTTCCGCAACTGATGCCACGAAGCATCACATTCTCAAGAAAGGACTGCTTGCTTTTGCAAAAGCCAGACGATTTACATGCGAGAAGCTTCGGAGTGCTAGAGTCGAATTAGAGCAAATGCTCAAACAATGTATCGTCAGACCCTGGAAGAGCCCGTGGGCATCGCCGCTTCAAATAGTGTGCATAACGCCTATGTGGAG